TAGTGACAGTCTTAGGAAATTTCTGGGAAAAAATGACAGGTATGTTGCTACAGGGGGACTGGTAGGCAATAAAATTTGCATGTACCTTCAAACAGCACTGGGAGCAGGAGGAAGCATCCATAGGGAGCAAGGAGTGTTTAAATGACCCTAAATGACTGCCCTGAGACTGGAGATCATATCTTGGTTTGATCTTCTGAGAAATGGGAAGCTATTTATTCTGTGCCCCTCTCCTACTTCTCTGTCCCATAGTGCTCTGGCTCTGTAAGGCCATACTCCTTGTTTTTGAGCTAGTGTCTATTCTGATTGTTCATTAGTCCATTATGGTTAGTAGGTGCTGAAGATATATTGCTGTTAAATATTTGTAATATAACCCTTGCTTACCTCATAAGTTTGTTGCAAGGTTACTTAACACAATGTCTGTAATATGCCTCTCACATGATAGGCACTTGATGAATGAGATCAGGGATCATATTTCATGCTCCAGCATGTAGCCTGGACATAGGGTAATCTCATCACTAGGCCACCAAGATCCCCAAGAAGTGTCTAGGGCTCATTCCCACTTGCAGACCTTTATAAACTATAGCCCCAGTCCCATGTTGTGCATATTCCCATGAAACAACTGTGAAGACCCAGCAGGACCTAGGGACTATCCCATTTAGTCTTATACATCTTTTGAGAATGGACCTGCTGTGGTGGCTTGTGGCAAGCTACACCCTGAAGATGGCACTGGTAGGAGCTGGTAGGGTGAAATGCAACAGAGCAAAAGACTGTGAACTCAGACCACCTAGTGTCTTCTTTTCTTCACACAAAGCTTTGGACTCTACTGTTTAGAGCAGGTTCACAATTCTCTCCAAACAAGAATTCTGGCTGGCTTCCCTACCCACTACTCACCAGGTTCCATGCCCTGGCACTCTCTACTTGTTGCCACTTCACGAGGAAGTAGCTGTGAGAGATATAAAGGCCCAAACTGTGTCTCCAGGACCCAACACAGAGCTTTTCACAAAGTAATATTCAATATCCTATTGGTGAGGGAATGTGTGAATGAGTCAATCTTTCTCAACCTGTAACTGGTACATCAAGAAACCTTTCTTTCATCTTTCAAAGCCTACTATGGCTTTGCCAGCCTGCTGGGCTCCAACAGTACTTACCATTTGGGTTCCTCCTTTGGCAAGTAGGCAAGCTCAACTCAGTTCAATTCAACCAACTTCCGTGGAGCTGCAATATTGGCAAGAGCCACTCACAGTCTCAAGAAATGCTGAAAACATTTTCTACTCCATGGCTCCTCAATTGTACTTTCAAAACAACCTTGGCATGGATCAGAACTTTTCCCAAGACTCCTTAAAAATATAAATATATGATTTAAATTACTTCCCCTTGTCAATATTACCATTCAACTAGGATTCAAATAAATTAATCCTAGATAGATGATAGATATGAAGGACCCTAGTTAGCAAGACAGACTCCATATTGCTGCTTGACCCACCTGCCTGCCCTTTAGATGAACTCAGAAGGAGAAAGCTTAAAAACCTCCTCCCCTTAGAAAGTCTCTTTAGAAATAACAATTAATCAACTATTGTCTTACAAATGTTCTAACAGCAGGACGTTCCGCTTCTGTACCTTTTGGTTGCTTTGCTAGTTCTATCCCATAGGGGTCCTAGAAACTGTTGGCCTCAAAGGTATATAAAACATGTTTGTCTGCCCCCAGTCGGGGCTCCAGTCCGATGCTCGTCTTGGTCCCCGCCGGTAATAAACTCCTGTGTGGATTTAATATCAGTCTTTGGTTGGTTCTTTCTCACTGGGTGCAACAGATAAACTGATGATTATTGGATAGGTATGGAGCAAGGCTGGAAGGAAGGTGGAAAGTTGAGGAGGAATAAGAACCAATTGCTGTCTGATGGATCAGCAGTTTTAAGTCCGTCAGGGAAAGAGGCTTGCTTTTCAGCCATCCAAAGCTCACCTGGGACTGAGATTTGAAGGGATGCCAAGCAGCCCCTGGTGTAAAAAGAAAGTCAGAATCCCCACTCATACTTGTTTTTTCATTTTTGAGGGTTGGGCCTATTTACATTTTATGACTGTTCTCCATTTCTGTTACCACTCTCTTATGCATATATACTCTTCCTATGACAGTCTTCTATAAATTAGTAATTTGCTTTCTCTCTGATAATTTCTTTTAGTAAAATTAAAAAATAATATTGTATGTATTCATTAAAACTTTATTTTTAAAGTGAAAAATCTGAGGCCAATTTAAATAAATGATAGTAGATCTGGTTTGGAATGCTATATAGACAATAAAATGTTATAGAAAAATAGTAAGTGACATAGGAAAAGTTCACAATGGTTAAGTGAGAAAGATAGACCAGTGAATTCTGAGGAAGGCAAAAAGGAACAGAGAACTGGAGAGTAACTCTGGAATATGCTGTTTTTCCAGATTGAAGGAGGAGATAGTGTCTATTGATGTTGAATTAAGATTGGACTTCACCGAAAAAGCAATGACCAGCAACCAGGTCTCTGAATTGACAGAGGTGTTGGAAGATAATTATTCTATCCAAAGCATGGTGGACTGCATCGTAGACAGGGAGATCTGCTAAGAGATTCTCAGTCTGCATATTTGACCTAAAGTAATGAAGGCTTGGATTAAGCATGTGCCAATAAAACAAAAAGTAAAGAAGTAGAGGAATCTGAGAGATGCTACCAAGAAGAATCAGAGGTAGAGATTCAAATTTGACTAAATATATGCCAGGTAGTAGGTGAAACCATGCAAGGAGACATTTGTTAGACAGAATACCTGAGAACTGAGTCTTTGAGGATTCCAACAATTGATGGGAGGAGGGAGGAGAAACCAGCAAGGACAATGAATTATACATCAGATAGATAAAAAGAGAAACTTGAGAACTCAGTGCCATGAAAACCAAGGGTAGGACAGCTACAGGAAGGAGTAGGTGGTTGATGATATCAAATTCATCCTTGAGATCAAAGAGGCAACTGTTCAGAGACCCTTGAAATTGACCAGGAGGTCACAGGTGGACTTCCAGAGAAGAGTTTTGGCAGAAAGCACTGTAGTCTAGAAGGAGGAAAAGGTGGGGAAATGGAGAGAGCTCATGGATATGATCCATGTGTCGGGTGTAATGTGGTAGGACTGAGAATAACAAGATCAAACTTTACAGTTCTAATCCTGCTATGCTACCTAGCCAATTTGAACCTTAGTTTCCATTTTTGAGAATAAGAATAATGCTACCTGTTCATAAAGCTGTTGAAAAGTATGAGTTAACTCTTCGAGTTATAGTGAAAAAACTTCTCCTTCCCAAATCTGTAGGTATATTGGAGCATGTTTTAACAGAAAAGAAGAGTATTTTAGTTCAACAGTCATATCATAGCAGATTGGTATTGCTTTGAAAAGTTTCCAGCTGTGTACTTTGGCATTGCCAAGTAGCTTTAACAATATTTCCCCCAGCCCCTCCGAGTTGAGAGCATTGAAGCAGTGGCCAGGATCAGGTGGAATGTCTCTGAAGCCTGTATAGTGGTTGTGAGGCGAGGCTGTGTTTGAGATCGAGGTTACAGTTTGGTGCTAATCTCACTTCAATACACAGATGGCTGCAGGGCCTGAGTAGATAGTAAGACAGGATAGGTTGGCTGGGGTAGAGGTACCAGAAACCTTCAATTTAAAAATCGATGGCACTTTCAATTTGAATGGTCCATGGGCTGAAAGGTCTTGAACAGGTTGCTTGGTTTTCAAAGTATGCATATATTTTTGCTTCCTTCCTTTTCTCATTTGGCAACTATACATAACCAGATCTTACCAGCACTACCTCATTTTATTCTACCTCATTATCTACACATCAACCTTTTTTGTTTGTGAAGCCTGGTCTGTTTTCAGTTTAATGTAGTTTAACATAACTGATCTTTGTCTTAGTGCCTTATTCTCCTCTAAAATAAAAGATACCTCCTGTGAAAAAATGGCTGCCCTAGAAGCCATCAGAGCTTAGCCCTATTAACAAGCCCTGGAGAGACTCATAGCTATGAGCCCATCCTACTGGGAGTGAGGTGAGCATATTTTCTAGAACTGGTTCTTTTCAGAAACTGAAACATCTAGAGAATGTAGTCACAGACCCTTATTAATGTTCTTATTAATCTTAATGGAAGTGCTTGATTTCAATTCTGGGAAAATGGTATGCCCAAAGGAAATAGGATCACATCTTGGGTGGTACACTCATGTGCTAAGATGTGTGGGTTCCCTGAAAAAGTGTGATAGGGGATCAGAGCAAGGATACTTCCCAGGAGTCTAATATATAATCAGCAAGCATTTTGGACACCCTTGGAATCCTACTCTGAATTGGCTTCTAAACAAGTACTTGACCACTCAGGCACCAAATTTTCCCTGATCATCTTTAGAATAAGATGCTTTCTTCAAACAGGGGTGGGGGTAGCATATGAGGACTAGAAAGATAGGCCAAGGTGCTTGTCTATGGCAGTAATTCCTATAAGATTTGGGCAAGGGAGTCTGCTGCTGGAAGGCATCCGAGGTTTTGCTTGGGTGTCCCAGGGCAGGTCTTGTCTGGGAGGGGCGGGGGGCTGCTGCTGTAGCTGGCCCAAAGCCAGGCCTGCAGGGCAGGTGGCCAGAAACTGGAAGGAATTCTCTTTTTCAGTCCAGGGTCTCAAGCTTGGCCCCAGCAAGCTGCCTTTCCAGCCTCTGCTGCCTGGGGCCTCACGCATTCCGAGCCGCCGCTGTCTCTTCTGCCTGTCTTCCTCGATCAAACCCTCCCTTGTTGCCATCTCCACCCTCCACCAGCTGTTCCTTTTCCCCCAAGCCGCCAGACAGCCAAAGGCTGGGAAGAGAAGGCCTCAGGCTTGAGGAGGCGTGGTGGAGAAAGGGAGGAGGGCGAGGGTGAGGGGATAAGGAGGCCTGGCCCATAGCGCTCCGGCCGGTAGGAGGGTTCTACCGCTGTTGCCGTTGCGGTCTGCCGGCCCATCTGCCCACTCGCTTGCTTGCCCCTACCCAGGGGAAAGGTCATCAGTGTTCTGGAGCCGCCTTGTCACTATCTCAAGGCCATGAACTGCAGCGATAGCCAATGGCTGCAAAACCTCTTGAACCACCTGCTGCTTGAGCTGCACCATCAGGCCAGCTGCCTGAACGCTGGCTCCGACTCTACCATGGGCGTGGGGGTCGTGCCTGACCCTTTCGGGGGCCGGGAGGTGACCAGCGCCAAGGGCGACGATGACTATCTCTACATCCTGCTCATCATGATCTTCTACGCCTGCCTGGCTGGAAGCTTTGTCCTGGCCTACACTCGCTCCCGAAAGTTCCGCAAGGACAAGGAGGAGCCATCCCAGACCTGCACCGCCTTGCCCCAATGGGCCTCTGGGGGTGCCCTGGCCACAAACGCCGAGACTGCCGCGGGCTTCCTGGCTGAAGGCCGCCCACTGTTTGCCCCTGAGTTGCTGCTTGCCTTCGACCAGGGCGCAGAGGGGGTCTAGAACCACAGCCCCAGCTCTCTAGCTCTCTGGCTCGCGCCCTCATCTCTCTCATTTCTGGGCATGACTCCTGCCCTTTCTTCCATTTTCAGGGTTCGCCTCACCTAGAGCTAGACAGTGCTGTGAGGTCAGGAGACCTTGTCTGGAAGGCCCTGGAAGGAGACCTCCCTACTCACTCCTTGCCAATTTTCCCCTCCTCTCCTCCCATGCCACCACTCCCACCGGGCACATCCAAGTGCACTAAACTGCCTCTGCTCTCTTGTCTTCAGACAGCCCTGATACCATACTCTAGCCCTCTGGGAACTGGATCCAACACATTCAACACTGGGCATTGAACTGTAGAATGAAGTCTATCAGAACTCTGGGTCGTATAACTGGCAGCTGCTCTGGGGGCTGCCAGGGACTGCTCACTCTGCAGAGCCATTGGGCTTCCCATCACTGCAAGTCAGCATCACTGCAGCAGATCCAGCTTCCTGTTGCCTTAGGGACAGAAACAGAAAATGAAGAGACCTGGAATATCTTTTCCCTCCCTTTGTCTTTCAGCAGGAGCTAGCTGGACACCAAGACCAGTCTGGAATGGACTTAATGGAGACTGAAGGGGGAGGGTGCTTAACGGGAGGGGAAGATCTATGATTTCAAACTGTGTGGTTTTCTTGTCTCCCCAGCTATCATCTCAAAGGTAATTTGACTGAGTTTTAGTAGCTTGGCCATCTGCTGTGGGTAAATATTACTGGTTTATTATCCCAAAACTTCTAAGTGCATTCCCTATACTAATTCACTTGTAATGGTGTCAGCTCCATCCAGGGAACACGATAGTCCAAGATCCCCTGCTCTGTAACCCTGGGGAATGTCAGAGGCAGGTAATAAATGTGGTTTAAACAATAACCTATGACTCTTCTCTCAAACACCCCAGCCTTGAGACCCAGTTTTATATAGGGAAAGAATCTTTTTTGATTTTGGAAATGGTATTTGGATTTGGGAGTTGAGTATTTGTGATATCTTTATTTATATGACCAGATTCAATATGATATGTACAATTGTGGGTGAAGAAAAGGTTTAAGGTGGGCACAGTGGTGTGTGCCTATAGTCCTAGCTACCTGGGAGCTGAAGTAGGAGGATTGCTTGAGCCCAGAAGCTCAAGACCAGCCTGGGCAGCATAGGAAAGAAAAGGTTAATGTAGTTAAATGAATTAATTTTCAAGAATTTCAAAAGTTATACCTGCTTTATTACTTCCTCTTCCTTTTTTCTTAATTCTGAAGCCCTATCAAATATGAGTGCTAAATAAAGATACCCCACTTTCCTTTTTCAGTTTTTCAGGATGCACTGAAAAGAAAAGCCTTCCAGGCTCATTGTTATTACAAAAGCTAATTTTTAATTTTTTGGTTTTTTGAGACAGGGTCTAGCTATATAGTTCAGGCTGGCCATGAACTCATGGCAGCCTTCATGCCTCAGCAAGTTCCAGCCCTAAGGTAGCCCCCTCTCCTTAAAGAGGAGGCCAGGGGCTGGACAGCATTCCAAAGCAATGATTGTATGAGAAGAGATGCTGTGAAAGCCATCTAAGCCAGGCAGGGAGGCTTGAGGGGATGTGGAAAGAGTACCTGATACAAAGCAGTGCTACGGGCAGGGTTGGCGAGCAGTCTGCAGCCCTTGTCTTAAGTACATTTATCTTGTATAACTGGGGACACAAAGTTATTTTGATAATGAAGCATAATCACTTCTTTAGGCATTGACATATTATAAATATATTTGCAACATTTTTTTCTGTAAAAAAATTTTTTTACCCCAAATTAGAGAAGATCAGAATAGTTGAGATAATGCCCGTAAATAAGCATTAGTGCCCTATCTGTGGGAAACAAATACCATGGCAAAACATTCCTGCTTTAGAAAACACTTTAATCTTTTTATGATGACTTAATGTACCCATTAAGAACTTGTAACCAGAGTAGCTATAGAAAGCTCCTCATGAGAAAAGTGAACTGGTCCGAAGGAGAGCAATTTGCTTTACTGCCCAATTACTTTTTCAACCACTTTCATAGCTGCAACTGTACCCTAGATAATGAAGCTTCCCAGAAGGCTAGATCCTCAGCTGTCTCCCAGCCAGTGGGGCTGTCAGCAGCATTGATGTGATCATATTGTGATCAGCAAAAGATACAGAAAAGAAAGAAAACTACATGTGTGACCAACCCCCAGTTTTGCTAATGTTTTCCCAAAGAGCATGAGTTGACTACAAATAGGGGAGTTGTTAGCTTTGTCCTTAATGTGATTTCAAAGATGACAAACATTCTAATAAATTAGAATGACTCTCTTTTCACTCCATGTAGCAGTCTATTTCTACACTCTGCATATCAGATCCTATTTCCATTCAGGTTCAGACCTTTGCTCTCTAATAATGATGAAGCAGAAGAGAGATCATGTTTATTTGCTTGTAACTTGAGACTTTCAACAAAAAGGAACTAGGAGATATTTTGAGTTCAACTGTCTGGAAGTGCTCACCAACAGTATAATAATAGGGTTGAGGATGTAACATAGTGGTAGAGCACTTGCCTAGCATGAGAGAGGGCCTGGGTTCAACCTCAAGTACCATAAAAAGTACAAAAATAAACAGAAGCTTCTCTCCATTATAGACATATTTCTGCATTGTCTATTTTACTCTTCTAGAAGGATATAGAGTCTTTCATTTAATTCTAGTTACCATCTCCTTTCCAATTTGACGTTGCTTTTATAAACCCAAGGTCTACACATAATTTATATTAACAGAGAGAATAAGGTCTGGGATGCTTTCCAAACAATCTTACTTAGTGACTAAATTGAATGCATTGTGATGTTGTAGAAAGAGCATAGGACCAGGAATCAGGAGAACTGGTGTCCAGCCCTAGCTTTGCCAGTGAATGGGCTTTGTTTCTCCTAGTGAGCTGCTAGACTCCTTTGAGCTGTAGTCTCCACACTGGGGATTTGAGGATCAACTGAGATCGCATATGGGAAAGGACTGAGAGAAGTATAACAATTACGATGCTATTAAAGTTATATTTTCCTTTTTCTTCCTTGAGGGATTACCCTTGGGCAGTTAGGCAGGGGAAATGAAAGGAAGAGAAAACTTTCCACTATGGAGAGTATACTGTTACTGACCAAAAAAGATTACCAATACTGTGCTTAATCACTAGCTCCCAGATTTCTGAGACTTTCTCACTCATTCCCAGAATCTTGGCTGACTAGAAAAGCACACATAATTGTCTCACTGTCTTGCTCTAATTCCCCTTCTCTTCAAGGCCATGGTTTCCCTTTTTAAAAAATTATGACAAGCCATGCATGGGTGGTGCACATTTGTAATCCCAGATCCATGGGAGGCTGAGGCAGGAGGATCACTTGACCCAAAATAGTTTGAGGTCAGCCTGGTCAACACAGTGAGATCCCTCATCTCAAAAGAAATATTACAATAATCCTTTATTTACAGAGCTTCACCAGGACTGTAGTCTAGAATTTTAAAGACACAGTTCCTCAGGGATTGGTAGAAAGGATGAGAGAAGAGAATGAAGGCAAGAATCAGGTTCTGTGGGATTTGTGAGAGAAGTAGGAGGATGGGGAGATAGGAAGCATGATTTAGGACCACCAAGGATGGATAGATTACATGGGTCAGTAGCCAGCCTAGGTGAACCCAAAAATGGCATTAGTGAAAATGTTGGATGGGAAGTCACTTTTTAGCTCTTCTGTTACTTAACCTACAGTCTGTCCAAGAAGACAGTCTGGTAAGGCAACTCTGCCTTCTGTGCTAAGCCATAGTGCAAGGAAACAGGTGGTCCTGCCAGTGCTACATCAGCAGGCTTTGAGGGAGGACAGTCATAATCATAGTCAAATCTGGGGCCTGAGTCTTCCTCTGAAAAGAGCACAGTCAAAACAGACATAAGATATATCAGTTATCCTGTTTAAATTTTGATTAAATACACATAATATAAAATGCACCATTTTAGTCATTTTTTATGGTACTGGAGATGGAATCTAGGGATCACTGAGCTACATCCCTGTCAGGTAAAAGGGCTGAAAACCAAGACCAGACCAGGCCACAACAAGCCTTCATTAGGGGAATAGATCTGCCGGGCTGTCTCTGAACAAAGGAGAGACAAAAGCAGCATGGGCGGGGCAGGGAGAGTCTTTTATAGAGACTGGGGTGGGGCTTGTAGGGGCTGAGGTGGGGTTGAGTGAGGTAGTGACTAGGGAATGGAGGAGCCGGTGACATCACTAAGTGGTAGGAGGTGAGCGAGTATTAGGTTACTCTCTAGGCGGGAACAGGGGCATGCTGGGAAGAAGGGTTTGTTCTTTGGTGGGAGCCACCATCTTGGCGTGACGTCACACAGGGGAGGGGGCAAGGCACCATAGGAAGAGGGCAGCTACTATACATAACAGCTGCTGGGGTAGTGGGAGACTTATCAATCCCCAGCCATTTTTAAATGTTTTCATTTTGAGACAGGGTCTTGCTGAGTTGAACTTGAACTTTCAGTCCTACTGCCTCAGCCTCGTGAGTAGCTTGGATTACAATGGGAATGTACTAGACTCTTCACAACTCATCAGATTCTGTACTTAAGAATGCTGTTCTGCCAGATGCTCTTAGAACCCTGGGAAAGACTATGGTGACTGTTAATGACTGGATTTCAATCATCCAAATTCATCAGATTTCCACATACCTGACCCACAAGATGTCTTCCTTCTGGTTCCAACCTCCCCACTGCCACTCTTAGTTTCAGTACTCCAGGTTGGTTCTTTCTCCACTGCCAGGATCTAATGATTTTATTCATTCACATCTAGCCTGCTATTCATCTCAGCAATGATAGAAGGAATATATCTTTAATGGTGGTATTTAGACACTTGAGTTAAGGGGAGAGACATGAAGGATGATGTTTTCTTTAAACTCACTGCTTCTGAGGAAGTTCAGAAGACTAACTTTCATCCATCAAGAAGGGCACCTGCATTTCCATGTAAGTCTCCTAGACTGGGGTGTTGGATGGGAATGT